TTTTAATCTTTTCTAATTTGGGGAATTTTAGTAGCTCCGCTGGCTGGCTACCTGAACTCTCACCTTGTTGGTGAGGGTTCAATTCCCATCTTGTAGTCCGCTCCCCATTTCTGTTTTCCTACCTCCTATGTATAATATAAAATATTAAAAATCTTGTCTAATTTTTCCTAATCTTATAATTCTCAAAAGTTTTGTCTAATCTTATATGAATCACATCAAACTTATCATTTCTTTGTGGATTTGGTAAGCGCTAATATTCTTTTTCATTTAACATTGCTACTCTTGCAGCATTCTATATAATCTGCCTTGTCGCTTTGGTAGGTATAGTCCTGTAGGCCATAGGATATGTCGTGGCACTCCTGAAAGATTGAATCTAAATATTTAAATTGTTTGCATTTAGGCAGACCCCACAAATCCTATTTGATTTCGCTTAACTTCATTGTTTCTTTTGAACAAATTGATTAATTGGGAAAGAACAGAAATACAAAGTGTGCTGATGGATAGTGAGAACTCGGGTAAAATGAAGTGCCTCCCATTTAATGCAAATCAGCTTTATGGCCTCCATGTATTCTTGTTAATCTTGTAGTTATGAAGTATGATGAAATGAATAGTGACGTGCTTCAAAACCATTTACACCGAAACCACCTTGCTCTCTTTTTATGACTAGTATAAATAGGCCTAGGATATGTTGCCATACGGCTTGCGCTGGTTCCTCCATTGGCACTTCAAACTGAATTAACCTTAGAACAACCATCTAAATTAAGTTGGACAAGGAGGGGGAGGGGGTTTGCTCCAACTTGAGTACTGGCTACGGTTAATGTGTTATTACAGCTGGAAATGAAGTCATTAAGAATTGGCCACCATTAAGAGGAAGCATGCATATGAGGAAGATGTGGGCAGATAAGTCATTCACCCATTTAAAAATCTTGAATTGGATCACTTGTTCGGGGAAAATCTTGAATAGGATCTGTTAACAGGAGAAGAATCACTCGTATTCATTAGGACATCTTTGAACCCACATTCCCTAACAAATTACACGCCACTATCATGTAGATATCCATATGAACATCATTTCCTTTTCAAATTTTTTTTTAAACCTTTCAAAAAAAAAATGAACATCATTCAGAAAAACGTATATGTGCAATTAAAAGGTACTTTAGCATGGGAGACAGTGGAATCAATTTATAGCACAGACATCATCATTGCTAAATGTTGCAAGAAAATTCATTGTACCTATTCCTCTGATACATTACAGATCACATAGTGCTTTATGGAAAGCAAAATTGTAATCAAACTATTTCTCCTGCTTAAAGTCTCGGGGATAACAAAATACAATTCTTGGTCCTCAAATGCTTCAGCTTTATCTAGAGTTTCATCAATTTATCCCCAAGTTTTTGACTGATCAGTATAGGTGCGTTTCCTGTAAAAAGATAACAAAAACCATGGAATAGATGAAACACCTCAAGAGAAGAGAAGAAAAAGAGCTGTTTAAATGCATTAACACCCTATTGTTAAAATTCTAGAATGCTTAAAGCCAAGACACCTATTGTTTAAAACTCAATTATATACAATTACTTAATGGGAAAATGAAAATAATAATGACTGAGTTTATGTTGAATTGCTATCTTTATAAGGTAGGGGTAAGGTCTACGCTCACACTACCCTCCCCCAGACCCCATTTATGGAAATACACTGGGTTCGTTGTTGTTGAAGTTTATGTTGAATTGAGAAGACGATTAGAGAAGAGAGCTTTGCTTGAAGATACAGCCTAGTCTTGCGTTAGAATCTAAAATGAAAAGGAAAGAAAGAAAAAAGAGAAGGGAAACAATGTCGTATTAGGAAATACTAATTTGTATTTCTCCTTCAATCTCGCTTATGAGACATAGTTTTGATTAGGAAGAGATCTTACATACCAAATAGTGAAGTCTGATATGTGGAAAACCAATTGATAGATAAAGGGAGAATGGTGGTAGCAAAGATACAGTTTTGACATGCTCTATCACCAAGGAACCTGGCTTCCCCCACAGGGAAAGAACTAATCATATTTTAAGGGGCAGCTTCTATGTGGCATGTTCTGAGACAGCAAGAACTGTAGCTAGAAGGAATTTTTGGCACACAGATTGATTTCAGATTTAACTTTACATGGTAAGAGTATTGATAGTATCACACAAATGATATTACTTAATCTTTTGGTTACAGAGTAGAGAAGCAAAATAAAGCCGAATCTGGGCAGCAGTGCAGCTGTAGATAAAAGAAAATGTGCAAGATTCTCATAATTTGTTTTTTTCTTTTTTAAGAAACTGTAATGAACTGGTGGAATTCTAAAGCCAATAAATCCATTCTCTGCTGCATTCTTCAGTTGCTACTGTGTGTTAATAATTAGATTTATATACCTGTTAGGGTCCACCTAAATGGGTGCATCATTGATCTTTCCTACCATCTCTCTTTATAAGCATGATCAGATTTATGACAATGGAACCAAGGTGTCACACTCTTCTGTTTGACATCTGAAGCTTTTTAAAACAAAATGTAGAGTGTCTTGGCCAGTTTTGCCCTTATTGTCCCTTATCATTTACTTTGAGTTCCTTGGTTTTGATTACTTATTATGGAGAGGATGCTGGGGAAAGAAGCCTTCCGCTCTGTTTTATCCTTGAAATGTCATCATTCTTTCAAGGGCTAGTTTTCAGAATTTTGATGTGCAATTGGTTATCTGCTACACATTGGGTAACTGCAATGTTGTTTTTGTAGAATCCTTACATGGTGAACATTATCCTGGCTGGCTATGACAAAGAGACTGGCCCTTCTCTTTATTACGTTGATTATATTGCTACTCTTCATAAAGTGGATAAGGCAGCATTTGGTTATGGCTCGTATTTCTCTCTCGCCATGATGGATAGGCACTACCGGAAGGACATGACAGTAGAAGAGGCTGTCGATTTAGCTGATAAGTGCATCATGGAGATCCGATCTAGGTTGGTGGTTGCCCCACCAAACTTTGTGATTAAAATTGTTGACAAGGATGGAGCTAGGGAATATGCTTGGCGCCAGTCTGTCAAAGATGCCCCTGTTTCCGACTCTTGAAGCTCTGCTTTTGGTTGTTATGTTTACTCTTTAAGCATATGAATCTATGTGATGGGAAAAACTTCAGTCATTATAACTGCCAAAATATCTGTTGCTACAAGTGTTTGTTGTTTGATTGATACACCAGTTGTAGCAAGGAATTTAGTTTTAATTATTTTCAAGTTGCATGTTGATGGAAAGCTGGTGATGTGAGACTTTCTTATGTTTCAACTATCACTTGTTTTATGCTAGCATGCGTTTCTTTCATTTGTTTGAAAATAGCGGTAATACAGGGGTCGGTCTTCAGACCAAAATAGAGTTAGTTTGAGTGAGGCTGTTGGTTAAAAAGACTCGATTAAGCATGTGGATTGTGTTGGAGGATAAGTTTCAAATGAACTGTAAGAGCTTCAAGTGAATAATGCAGGGGAGAACTTATTATGCTAAAAGAGACAGTTGGGAGGTAGGTTTGCTGGAAGCTGCTTCGCATAGATTCTGAGGCTCATTTTGGAGCTAATCAGGCCATCTTTGTCTAGAAGCCTTGCTAGATTTAGCATTCTGAATATGTTAAAGGGGGGCTTCATTTTACCCTCTCAAACTTCGGAGCGCGGATGGTATATTGTCTTCAACTTAAAGGCCTTGTTGATTGGAAGAAAGAGAGCGTTTCCAAGTTCCTACACCAACTTAGTGACAGACTAAAAAAGTCCTCTAGAATAATGGAAACAAATGAAAGGACAAAGTAATAAAAGTGTTTGTCATTTGTTGAGTAATCTGTAAAATTTCTAGTTTACATACCCATCTTATGTTATTTCTTGAAAATTGTTAATGGAATCTCCTTTTTATACCCCAAATTTAGAAAGAACAAGAGAGAGCTTAAAGTAAACATAGAAGTACTTTTGATAATTCATATATTAAATGGATAAACACTAACAATTTCTTCTCCGGCCTCCCCTAACGCCTCTAGGAAAAAAAAACAAAGAAAGAGCATCGTACACATATTTCATCTAATCCTAGTCCTTATGACATGTAAATTTATCGCTCAGTAAATGTTGACACCAACTGATCAACTGAAAGAAAGGAAGAGGACGAACAAGAGCAATACAAGTTAATAGAATGGATGGCTGTAGCTAGTAAGACAAGCTTTTTCATTATTTCCTTCAAACTAGTAATTAGCAATTCTAACTTGTCCAACTCCCTTATTTGTCCATGAGCAGATATTTGATAAAATCCTCTAGCTGAGAACAAATATTAAGTGCACAAAAGCACAAAGTAAAAGCAAAGTAACGAAAAAATATGTGTTGTTTATTGGGAAAACTGATGTATTTTCTAAATTGAGCATATGCTAAAAGCACATTTAAGAGAGCGTAGATACATAAAGGCATTATTAGATCATCGCACTGATCCAGCAAAAACGCCAACAAAGCCTGTGAACTATATATTGAGATGACATATAATGAACACAAAATTCTAATGCAATTGCATATAAACCAGTCAACTACATACTAATGGTATATGAAAACTGCAATACAAGATTAATACTCAGATTACGCATCAGAATGAGTGGAAATAACTCCAGTACAGATAAAGCTCGCAACATCTGTTTTGTTTTTTTGGAGGTCAGATTGAAACTACTAGGGCTTCCAAGCCTCACAATAGGTGTTTTTCAAAATCCAATCTGATGCTTACACTTTAGAAGGAGTTATTAATATGTTGACCTGTCTGTTTATGAAGCCATGAAACAGACAGTAATACCTAAGTTGTGTTCTTGCGAGAGAAATACCGGAGAGTGAATATTATGGCAGAGAGACCACAGAGATAGTAATTCCATATCATAATTCCTTTGGCTAGGATTGAAACACATGATGGTGTGGCCTGGGCAGCACGAGAAGGATTATCACCACATTCAGAGAAAAACAGGGAAATCAATATTGGAATGAGAAACCCTATATGTAACTCAGTATTCGTATGGCTATGGTTGATGCACATGATGGTGTGGCCTGAGCAGCAGGGGCAGGATTATCATCAACAACAGAGGATGGTGGTGATGAACTGCCTTGTCCTGGTGGTTCTTGCGGTGAAGGGTTATCATGATCACCTGCAATAAAGTGATAATTCATTTTTCTAGTATAAACTCAACTTCCCCCTTCAAAATTCATTCCCCTGTTTTATTCTTCCATTCATTTTCCGTCCATATTGGAAGCTAGTAGTCGTAGTTTTCTATCTAAGCTTCTAGAAATGCAGTTTGTGGCTTTATCAATTTATGAATGTGATTAGAGATACAGTAGTGCCCCTAAATTTGGTAGCAAGGCATTCATGAAAATTGAAGGGAACAGTTGGTATGTCAAAGTTATAAACATTAAAAGAAACAGAAGATATAAATATCAGTTCCAATTGGTGTAGATTACCTGGGTGTGGAATGCGTGGTGTAGGCCTAGGACTTGGGCTAGGGCTAGGGCTAGGACGCCTTGGACCCGAACTTGAACCCCTGTGATCTGCTAGAAATTTTTACACAATGAAGTGATCAGGATATTGTGAATAAGTAGCATCACCAGTTTGGTAATAGCAAAAGACCAAAGGAAAATTACCTGTTATTGCCCGAAAAGGAGGCAGCATAGTTGATCCTGAGTCACGGAAACAAAAATACTAAGCATTTTTATGTCGAGATATTGTGTACTAATTGAAATGGCTAATCTTTGAATGTAAAATCTTCTTTGTAGTGAACTATATATGTAATTTGTCATTTGTCTTTAACATATTTGTGTCGAATAGGTTAACATGAATATACTGAACTCTTAGAAGTATACTGCAATTCATATATGTACCCCTAAAGGAGTCCGGAATAACGTAAGTGGTGAATGAAACTCAAGTGTAAAATTAGCAAACAAAATGGGCAATAGAGAAAGAGGTTAACTGGTTAAGGCATTGGTTCCTGGAATAGTGCTCAGTTTGGAACTAGCTATGTAATGCTGCAGATGGAGTACTCATATATGGCTAAGTTACAACTATTTCAAGTTAATCCAACTATGGAATCATGATCCACTAAGTGGATATATTTACTCGCAAATGATGCATACATAACATGTGTTTTCTACGTAGGTTTATCATTTTACCTTAGTAATCAATACTACCAGTATGCATTATTCCATGCTATATAAATCTTCGTTTGTATCGGCTGCATCACAAGATATGTAGCAAATTCCTCCAAATCTAAAATGCATGTATTAGGAAAATGCTTACGTTGGTAAGCAGCACATTCTGAACTCTATCGAATATATATATAGTGCGCCTAAATCTATAAAGTTTAATTAAATTACTGCTGCCAAAAGCAGAACCAGTATTTTCCTTTTTTCCCCTCAAAGAAACAACAAAAATTCTAGCATAGGTAATATAGTTCTCTACTGTCCCATATTGGCACTTCTCATAATCTCATCTATCCAGTTTTGATCAACTGTAGAGCTAAATTGACCTAAATTGAATCAGTTTTTAAAATTAAAGTTTAGATAAGTATTTACAAACTACACGATTACATAAGCTAGAACTCTCCTCATATGAAAATGATTAAACATTAAATATACATTTTTAAAATCACAATTAGCCTGAACATCTGAGACGGAAGCATCAAACATTTTGAAACAGAGCAACTAATTCAAACTATAGACTCGAGTAAGTAACACATTTACTTCCAAGTATAATGTTACCATCAGTCCATAACGAAAAGTTCTTGATACTTCTAGAAGATTCATGTGCAATCACAGAAAATGTAGGTAAACAAGCGTGAAATCGGAAGCAAAATTACCCGAACAGAGAGATTCAAGAGATAAATTCTCCTCGCCTTCTTTCTCCTTAACAGGACAAACAGAAGCTAGCGACATCAGCTTCGTTGAATTGATAGGGAATCCAAGGATCTGAGGGTTATGAACGAGGTAACAAAGACAAATCGCGGTATTATCATCAAACGCTGCCGCGAAGTTATCGCAACACTGAACCGGAGGCGAATCGGAGATGTTGTTCGGGGAGCCGGAAATGAAGGGAAGGCATGGAGAGAATGCCACTAGTTCGTCAGCGCAGCCGGAAGACGGCGGTGGTGTTGACGGCAGTGCCGAAGGTGTACTGCCGGCGGCGGCGAGTAGTAGAACAGAGACTAGGAAGAGTACGTCGGCCATTGTTCTAGAGAAAAAGAGAGAGGAGAGAGAAACGGGTATGTGAGTTGTTGAGTAACAGATTAGTGGAGATTGATTTGAACTGAGTCTGTAAGTTTGTTGGAGTTGTATTCTGTTTTGTGCATGGAAGAGGAGAGTAGCGAATGGCGGGAAAGGAGATTTTCTTTATTACAGATATACCCTCTAATTTGTCGCGATTTTACAGAAATGGTCTAGATGGTTAATTTATTTTGTCCTCTTTATGTATCAGGCCGGTATTTCTTTTTAGCTTTGTTTTATTTTGTTATCATGTTTTTAATCTATTAGCACACAATGTTTATATCAATCCTATGAATATATGGCACATAACTTTACCTATACTATTATCCTAAACTCTAGTTAATTGTCCATATTTTTATTTCAATTTATCATTTAATCAATATAAATTAGTATGATTTGGTGCCATGGATAAGTTTTTACCTTCTATTTATTCCCTGCATTCCAAAAGCTTTTGCTTAGATTTGTATTTTGAAAGGATGTAATGAACTTTGACCAAATTCATATTTAGACTTTAACTACTATTTATAGAAAGATTTCGTTATTATGTTCCGTTGAAACTTTTGAGAATTTTATTTCTCTAAAATGTTTTTGATAGAAAATAGGGCCCCTTCTTATCCTTATGTGACTAATCGTTATAGGTAGAGAGAGCTTAGGTCTTAGCCAATTCCTCTTGTTTATGTTCCCTTGGGATGAAAATTATGGAAAATTGCACGTTGCAGTTGGTAATGATCCAAGTACATATAGCGTGTAGAGATAGATGCAAAAACTCATGTAGCTAGTAAACATAAGAGCATTCATTCTCTTTGAGCTATCATATCAAACTTACGATCCATCTTTGGTGCTAATGTGTAGCTTTGCCTTTTTGGCCTACTTATATCGTCGTACCAACTAGCACATTTTTTTGTGGTCTCACTCATGTTTCACAATCACATTCTATTTCATTTTCTAGCTCCTTAATTAAAAATTCCATCATCTCCTTATACATTGGCATACAATTATCGTGTGTAGCAATTGTAAACAATAAAATTCGTATCAAGAAATTAAGCGGGATTGAAAAATATTGTAATAATCGTAGTCTCCACTTTTCTTCTTCTCAAATGAGAGAAGTGACCCCTTTATATAGTTGTAGGGGTCGAGTAGCCTCTAAAAAAGGCTTATGGGCCATGGGCTTAGTCTTTATAGGTCGACCTAGTTAGAAGAAAACCATCTAAATAAGCTAGCACAATAATATCCATCTAAATAGGCTGGCACAATAATATTGGATTTTTATTTAAATCAACTTACTTAAATTTAAATAATTAACCCAATATATATGATGCACACAGTGCAATCGAGTGTCGACAGTTCTAAGAAATGAAGAATTTCGAAGAACAATTAGGCTAGATCAGGGTATCAACCGAGATGTTAGCTAAGAGAAGAACAATTTAGAGAAGAAGAAGAATGTTATTTCATGAATGAGATCCAAATGTGCACAATGAGATCTTTATATACAACTAATTTGATGCTTTCTCTTTTCCGCTCATATAACTAACTTTTAACAACAATTAACTTCCTAACTGCTTCTAACTAATTTCCGGAATCTTCCAACTAACTGCCACATCAGCTCACCTTAGCTAAGATTTACAAAATGAAGCTTGTCACACCTCCTTTTTACTACACATCCGAGAAAGAGTGTATAAGGGAGTTTTTCCAATTAAAGGACAATCGAAACGGGATTCGTTTATTTAAAGATTCAGAGTCGCCACTTGGGATAATTTATGGTGTCCCAAGTCACCGGTTCGAATCCCAAATCGAGGAAAAGATTGACTCTGTATTGTAGCCTGCGAACCAGAAATTCGGGTAAGGAATTCTGTTAACCCGGGAGAAGGTGTTAGACACTCCCGAATTTCGTGGTTCTAGCACGGTCGCTTAACAATTTATACTTGGCCTAATTATCTGACTTATTACACGTTTTAAACTTATTGTGTATTTTTAACTTTTATAACCGCTTTTAGCTTGATTATTTGTAATTATAGAATTGTCTTGAAACGAATCACGCGTACGTATATTCGTTTTTTTTTTTGCATGTAAGGAATCATGTCACGCGTACGTGTACATAATTAATAACACTTTTGGCGCATCAAAATCATGTCACGCGAACGTGTCCATGATTAATAACGCTTTTGTCTATTTATTAAGAAATATTTGGTTGAAGTTGCGCGAACACATCCCTCAAGTCACTTTTTAGAATCAAATTCGCAATTATGTTACGTGAAACGTATACGTAATCACAACACTAGTCTAAATCGAGCCTAAAGCAAACTACGAGTGTTCATTTTTTAGAAATTGTAATCGTGCCATGCAAACGTGTACACAATTGAACTAATAACATTTTAATTACTAAAATTGTGTCGCCCAAAGTTACGCGAACGCATACTTGACTTATATTTGGAAATTATAATTACGTCACGCAAACATCGAAAATCCTAAAGATTGCCTATCTGGGTGTGGGCGGCCTAAGCATGTCCCTAGCAATAAGCAACAAAGTATAGTAATAAAACGTTTCAAATCCAAATTTTCACTTACTCTTAAATCTAATCCTTCTGTCGAAGCCTATAGTTTATAAAATACTAAATTTGCAACTGATGGTTAATAAAGGAAAGCAAAAAGAACATTTTAACGCTCGATATGCTTCTGCTAGGATGAGAATTGCTAACTAGCGTTCAAATAGTCCTTTTAGCATTTAAAGTTGAAGAAAGAGATTAAATGTATCATTTGCTTGATTTAACAAAAATGGCATACGAACAAAAATAAAAAATAAAAAAATACATGTACTAGTATTTTGTCTACAGACAAATCAATTCTAGAAAGGGGAAAACCTGTGTATGCTGGTTTTATCTAAAGCCGCAATTCTTTTCATTTTTGAGTTTACCAACAAAGACTAACTCTTAACCCAAACAAAATCAAAATCTATATAAACACTCACAGACCATTTAAATGCAAAATTGTTGGATCAATTCTGTCCATGAGTCTTTTAACCAAGATAAAAGTTCAACCACAAATCTATATAGCTCAATAGTCACTATTGTTGACATTGCTAATTTTTATTCAATATAAGATCTCATTTGAGATTTCATACAACTAAAATAAGATTAACTTCAACCATAGACTCAATTAACAATTAACAACAACAAAAAAACAATCAAATTAGATGAACAACATCAACCAAACAACTAAAATTTCATTCATAACAGTCCCAACACACAAGTATTTGAGAAGGAGTTCATCTAATCTAGAATTAAAATAACAAAAACCAAAGTTCAAGCATCTTCCTAAAATATACGACATAAGTCATGACTGAATATAATAATGTCCAGGTAATCAAACTAATTTAGACAAGAAAACACATGAACAGATCATTCAAAACAGAGGTCATTTATTCACTATCTAAATCAACTACATAGTTTCCCTTTACATCTCATATGCTACTCAAATGCTGAAGCATACCTGGAAAATGAGAGGAAGTAAGAAATGTGAGATCAGTAGCCAAGCAGCAGCAGTCACAGCTATGAAACAGTGCCCAGAACCAATCAAACAGTAACCAAACAACAGAATTTAGAACAAAGCTTTCAGAACCCCCAAATTCAGACCATTTCTCAACTCAAGTGCAGAATGTAAAGCTTTTAGAGATTTTGGCTCATTAAAAAGATCAAAAGACCCACATAATACAGAATTTGATCAATTTTTATCAAGCAAAAGTGCCAGAAATCAGTGCAGTTTCAGAAGTTCAGCCGTTTTTGGTTTTCTGGATTTTCTATCTCTTAAAGTCTTTGAGCTCTCCTTTATCTATCTTTGTACTCTATCTCTCTGTATTCTTAAGCTCCCTTTCTGTATCTTTTTTCTGTCTCCTTCCCTCTTAGAATCTCTCTCTTAGAATGTTTTTCTTTTTTGTATTCAATTCCAGTATTTTCTGAATCCCCCCTTTGTCTCTGATTTTCAGCTCCCTTAAATGGGCATTCAATTATTGCATTTTCCACTACCAATTCAACTTTTCATTTCTTTAATGATCCACTCAATTAGTGCTTTTAGTTAATTCGATAATGCAAATACTACCCTACCACTATTAGAAGCTTCTCAATTAGTGACCACTTGCATAAACTTATACTAATCAGTTGATTATTATACACATTCAACCAAATTATTGAACTAATCCCAGTTATTCTGCCTAAGTGATTAAACGAGATACCATTTCAAAGTTTTGTGATATCCTAATTATACGAAACACATCCACAAAACCAATCTAAATAAATAAATAGTGAACATAAATAGTTTATACCAGAGTACTTATCGAATTTTTATTGACCAGGAAAAGAAAAAGAGATGAGGAAGACGAATATCAGAATAAAACTAATGTAAATAAACAAAGACTAAGAGAGAACTCACAGGACAGGCTCGAACTTGGGTTTGGCTTTGATACTGTGACTCACCCCAAACTAATGCTAATCATTTGTTCTTTATCAAGAACAAATGAACAGCATCGGTTTTGTAGTGAGTCGACCTTCTAATCACAAAAACTAGAGACTTGGATCGATGCATGTTATCAGGATCAACGGAAACTGATTTTGAACTTTTAGGTTCGAACTTAGATTTAAAATTCGACGAGTTCTGGTCAGATTCGAAGGAAACCATTGATGGATTTGGTATGAGGGAGTTATGGGGGGTTGTGTGGTGTTAATTTGGGAGTGATTGGGGGTAACCTAGGGTTTGGGGTTCAAACTTTGATCGAAGATTTGACAAGTTTGGCTGTGATTTGAAGGAAACAGTTTGGGGATTTGGGCTGGGGAGATGAAAGAGAATCGATGGTGTTAATTTGGGGCTGTTTGGGCCACCGGAACCGCCGTGAGGCGATTTCCGGTGGGCGAACGAGGGCGGTGCGCGGTGGTGCATGTTCTTGGTCTCTGAAGAGACGAGTGGGGTGGTGGGGGTGGGGGTGGTGTTTGGTATATTAAATTAGTCAGTTAATTTGGGCCGTTGGATGATGGGAATCCAACGGCTCCGATTAACTTTCTGATGAAATGGGGTCGTTTTGTGTAGTAACTGAGTGGTCTGGGAATAGGTCAGGTTGTGGGGAAGGTTTGGGACCGTCCGATCAAATAAAATTGACGGCCCTGATCAAAACGTGTCCAAACGACGTCGTTTGGTTCTGGTAGGGGTGGACCGGGTAGGGAATGGGTTGGGCTGGCCTGGGGATCAGGTCTGGCTAGGTAATTGTTTGGGCTTGGGGATCTTTTGGCCCAGATTTGATCTCCTATATTTTATTAACTCTTTTTTTCTTTTCTTTTCTTCTTTTTCTTTCAAAAATTTAAAACTAAAATCCTAATTAAATTATAAAACACCAAATTAACTTAAAAATACTAATTAACTCTAACTAATAATTATCACAAATAATTAAATGCCAAATTAAAAGAAAATCACACAATTTGACTAAAATTACAAAAATATGTTATTATTTTTTGAATTTTTATTTTTGTAAAACACCTAATTATTAATTAATTCCAAAAAATATAAAAATCAAATCTTAAGTGCAAATGCTATATTTTTGTATTTTTGATGCATTAATAAAATTAAACATGCACATAAATATATGCAAACAATCAGGAAAATCACACAATAATTCCTAAAATAACACATAATTAAAGACAATACCTAATTTTGGGAATTATTTTGGAGTAATTCTTATGAAGCAAAAATTACATGCTCACAGTTGCCCCTCTTTGTCCGAAAACATGAAGAGTTTTCGTGCAAAAATAAAGTGAGCGGATACGAGAGATTTTTGCCTGTTCGAACACTCCGTGGGAAGCATTTTTTGAAATTTTTGACCGAACCTCTGCTTCAAAGGTTTCCTACATATCCTTAGCTATAAAGGAATCAGGTCAATNTAGATGGGCTCCTGATTGCTGAAACTTGAATTGTATTCCCTTATTCTCCAGGTGGGCTCCTGATTGCTGAAACTTGAACTGCATTCTCTTGCTCTCCAGGTGGGCTCCTGATTGCTGAGACTCGAATTGTATTCCCTTGTTCTCCAGGTGGGCTCCTGATTGCTGAAACTTGAATTGTATTCCCTTGTTCTCTAGGTGCGCTCCTAATTTCAACAAAATAGACAAAAGCAAAGAAAATTTTATGCCAAGTCTGATAAACCATTATGCCAACCCCCAAGATCCCCACCAACGAAGTATAATTAGACCAACTAGAAAGCATACCGTCAACAAGTTCTGAAACACTCAATAAGAAATCTGCTGAAAAGAAAAAAGAAAAAAACAACTGAAAAGAAAAAGGAGAGAAAAAAAAAAAGGAACAAAGTCTTGCTTAGCCAGCCAAATAAAAGGCTCTAATCCAGCTAAATTTATAAACTTGAGCTAATCCCATTACTTAAACACGTAAGCAGAAGAAGCAAAAAAAAATTTGTCATACCAAAAATTCACCAACAAAGCAGAGAATTAGAGCAGTTAGCAGCTGACCAATTACAAATGCTAAAACAATCATGGAAAAATCAGCTTAAAAAAAAAAAGAAAGAAGAAACAACCAACTCAGACACAGAAAAGGCTCTATTGCATAAGAAGCCCTTCTAAAGTTGAGGTAGTATAATTTTAGAGATAAAATTGATATTGTCTAGTTTATAGTAGTACGAACCTCGGCAGCACACATTTTAAAAATACCGAATGCGCGTATGATTGCTTCCGGCATTCTTTCACGCTCACCCCCAATTTCAAAGTTTTGCAAGGATATTTGGGTTTGTCGCCCCATAATCTGAAAGCAAGTAAAACTCAACCACTTACTTCAGGTAGAAATAAAGTAAAAGAGATTGTGAGAGAGAGCACAAACTTGTCCTTGGGAACAATAATGGGGCCAAAACCATCTCTTTTATAACGTCGGTGGAACGCTACTAGCATTGCCATAGGGCTACCTGGAGTTACAGAAGAATCGATTGAAGGCTTATATTTGATGAATAGAAATGTAGAATATAAGTATGGACTGAATAACAGAATATCCAAAGATAAGCAAAAATATACAATGTCAATACCTATTCATGTTAAAATGACAAGAGACGTGGAATACACACTCCTTATTTTCTTCCAACAAATGATTAACATTTGTTCTTAGATGACATCATTCTCATCTTTTATTGTTATTTTTATTGTTTACCGAAAAAATGCTATATAACTAGAAATCCATATGATGTATACCTAAATATGAAATCAACCTTAACTATCAATCGGTAATTACTTGATCACATAACCTATAATTCAGAGAGAATGGATAACTAGATATTCCTACTTTCGAAACAATAACTGCGCTTCGGTCCAAAGCAAGTTGGGGTCAGGGATATGAATCCTCATTCCATTCATATGAGCCTCGGTCCAAAGCAAGTTGGGACTTGTGAAAGTGTCCTTTATATGAGCCTCTTAAATTTTTTCCAATGTAATGTCCGTTAACAGTCTGCTTGCCCATAACTTTCTCGATGTTTCTTTTGGGATTTACACCGTTACATTCTCCATTATTACTCCAGCCCCCTCTAGATTCCGATCATCTCGCTCTTCACAGCTATTATCTCGCTCATCACGCATGCCTTGCCTTAATGACGAATCCTCATTGGAAAAATTCAATTTCTCACACTGCATTAATGAGGTTGTTTGCTCATGTTCCCGATCTTGATGAGGGTCATTGATTTTTCGATCAACTTTCCGATCACTTTTTTAAACCCAAATATTAGATTCTACCAGTATCGGAACAAAGAACACCAAATCATCCACCATTAATTCCATATTTTCCGGTAATTTTACACCTGAATATTGAATACATATTCTTGCCCATCTCATATGCTTCCTTTCTCTGGTTTCCTCATCCATTTCAATGAATCCTTCAGCTTATCTCCTATTTCTTGAAAGATATTATCTGACCATAGATGCGTTGGAAACGTAGGAGTTTTACCCATATGATATCTGACACCAATTTCTCCGATGACAGAGACTCACTGGCAACCACCATTTCAAATGTAACCTGCAATTTAAGTGACCCGGCACTCACTTTAATTCTTGCAGCTTCTTTTCTGGAAGGGAATTCAAATAGAAAAAGGAGACCATTAGCTCTTTAACTATAACCCCCCGGGTATATTCCATAACTTCTCTGCCCATCTTTGAACCTCACTCTTATTGGGATGGTTGAGTTTAAGTTTTCGAAATACCCAACAAGCACCTCTGCAAATACTCAACTCTGGATTTCAGCAAACCATTATAAATGACAATCACATTTTGTTCTTTCCTTGCTACTTCTACTACTTTGACTTCATTCTTGGGCTAGCTTTTGATTTCGACAATCTCTGCATAGCTATACCTAGCTAGAATTATTGATATGGCATAACTCTTATCTCTGGAATGATTATGGTGGACTTCGTCTTGCCTTTTTGTGACACTATTCTGATGTATCTACAATACACATTAAAGTTCTGAAAGATAACATATGAATATAACTGATTCATAATTTCCCACTTTCTAGTGATTCTACATTTGCCTTTTGAAGTAATTTTAAGGTATTTGCAAATTCCCAGTAAGTTAGTCCTATCAACCGATAGTCTGTTGACAAAATTCCCCTTCCTCTCAATAGTCTCATGCCAATTATCTCCAATTTCCTTGATTTCAAAGGACTTATCTCCCACAAAAAGAAAGTATTCCTTCCCAGGAGGCAGCAAAAACAACTTTTTATAATCACCTTTCGCAGCTTTTTATAATCACCTTTCGCAACTTTTTATAATCACCTTTCGTCGTCGTATAACTAGGCTTATGTTACTCAGTGATTGTAAAGGGCTGAAAATGAAACAGGAATTAATGGAAGGAAAAGAAGATGAAGTGAAAAAAAATGCTGAAAGAAAGATCATATCAAACATAATAATGTTAACAAAATTATTACAGCAAAATTTGGAACCAGAAGAAGAAGAAAAAAACAGGATTAGATTTTATATATTGATTCCCAAAAAAAAAAAAAAATGAACCATATGCACAATGGGCAAGCCCTTAACCCGGATACTTACTTTGATGGGTCAGTAAGTTAAGGAGCCATGATAACTAACTCATTCAGAGAATGAGGTAAAGGTTTAACACAAGACCCATCAAGGAAGCCTATCTTATTCTTCGCAGATAAGGCTACTAGGGTTTCCCTTCTCCAACTAATTAATCTTGTACCAGAAAAAGGAGTAATCAAGTGACATAAAATTATTTCAAAAAGAAATAGGAGCTGAGACTGTCAGTGAGACAAGATCACACATGAAACAGAAAATCTAGATCTGTAACACCTATTGCACCACGAAACATGAGAAAAACATCAGAGATTTAGACAGGAACGAATTGATGGAATAAATTTAGGGCTATTTCTTCACAAGCAAAATAAATAGCAAAAGAGACTTAACATTTGGTCTTCACAAGTAAAAGAAAGCGACAACAAATAGCAAATAAAAAAAATTAGGCTAACAATAGAAAAGTTGAGTAGATTTTACCGTATGTTATTTGAGGACTCAAAACCGAATTAAGCCTTAAACGAGATCTCCTCCGGTCTCAAACCCACCTACTAAACACCGAAACCTTCTCGAATGCGAACAACTGCGGAGCGAACGAAAATAAAAAACTAACAAAAACAGCTGAGAAAAATATTATGAAGGTTATGCTCCTGTCTCGAAGGAAGCCATAGATTTGTCGCTGCCCGATAAAAGAGAGAAGATTGAGAAGGCAAATCTTTTAATATTTTTTCGGCGAGAGGGAAATTTTCCGAAAATGAAATGTGCCAAAACTGTCGAAATATCTACAGTACTATTCCTACCAGTAGTTTTAGATAATTCTTTTTTTTGGGTCAAAGTGTCACATAATTGGACGGAATATTAATCATGATCTAATATATCATATTATTTTAATAAATAATAATTATATTATTTTATTATTTAATGTAGTATATATAAATATAATAAAAATCCATACAAAATCAAAGGATACAAAGTATTATAGTAATTGAATAAATTATTTATTCATTGTTTATTCTTTATTAAATTAGCAGTACTTAGTACTATACATTTACTAATTTACAAATATAATTTTTTATTAATTTGTCAATTGACTTAATATTTTGATACTACTTCTCTTTTAGTAGAACATACATATATATTTTCTTATTCTGAAAATATATATTTTTATATTTATGTTATACTGTTTAAAATTCTTCAATTATCTAAATTTGTCAATAATTTTCTTGAGTGTTATTTATTTATATTTTATTTATTTATTAATTCAAAATATAAATATTATAAATTATCTGTATTTACCTTTTTTGTACATTTATTTCTACTATAATATTTGATTAGTTTTCTAATTAATTTCCCAACTTCTTGGACTTTAAATTCTGTCATATCCCCAAGTCAGATTACTAACGACTTGTCAAATACTGAATTTTCGCATGTTACTCAAAATCCGGATGGTAGAATTTGTATTCAATTTGATGATAAGTCTACTATTTATAATAGACATTCGTTTTCTAATCATAGACTTCTACCTACTATTCAACATATTTCCCAAGTTGAACCACTATACGGTCAAGCTCGTAATCGTGCAGCCTCTTTACACACTATTGCTAGTCAAATTAGTAATAAACCTGATGAAAGGGTTAAGGTGGTTGAAAGGGTTAAAGTTAACCCTCAAACAAATATTGTTCAAGACAATGACAATATTTCAGATAAGGATATTCCTTCTGTATCCGAGATGGATTTCGACCCCAATAGTATTTAATGATTCCGCACCAAATTGATTTTAGCACCGAATTACTCAAATTGAGAAAAATAATTCTCTACCTGATTTTTCGACTAAAGAAATTTCTGAATTTTCTAATGATAAAGGAAAAGAAATTTCTGATCTGACTGAAGAAAAATCTGACATGTTTTTAGGTATGATGCAAATTATTACTGCACATAAATGGTATATTAAATGTACTATTTTGATCGATAATAATTTTTCTATAATTGACATAGCTATGATTGATAGTTGTGCTGATGTAAGCTGCATTCAGGAAGGATTAATTCCAACTAAATATCTATGTTGAAGAACTAATTTCTCTGCTAAACGGATTCATATCTATGTAAGCTGCTAAACGGATTCATATCTATATTGAAGAACTAATTTCTCTTGCATATTAACCATGAAGAATCCAGACTTTTTCAAAATATAAAGAAATTTTAATATAGTTTCTTGGCTTGGTTCCAAGATGGTGGTACAGTCGACTCTGGTACTACTTTTATTGGTTTTGCCTTAGTGGCTATGTCTAGCCAGCTGTGACATTAAAGCCCGCTGAAGTTGTCAAAAGGGCTATCTCTTTCACAGTTAGAACTGCTAGACACATGAGCTTAATAAGAGTATGTATCAGACCTAGACAGGCCCCTTGCTTGGGTAAAAGGATATAGATCCTTCCATACAGTCATTAAACTATAATAGAATTCTCGTATATTTCGAATCTTTACCGCCAACCTTCAAAGGTACTAAAGCAGCTAGATCTGGATGGCCGTGCGGACTACCGCCCGCCTACCCCTGATCCTGGTGTAAAATGGTATCAGAGCCTAGGAACTGACATGGTAAATATGTAATAGATATGAAATATTCAACATAGATATGAAGCTTTTGGAATGGATCTGGGAGAAACAAGTACTAAAGGTACTAGACTTGAAGAGGTAGATATACCTCAAAACCTTGATTTATTAAATAAATGGACAATTCCTAAAGTTTCTATAAAAACCATTTATGATTATGGTTGGTTTGATAAACTTTCTTCTAAACAATTGATAAAAACAACTGAGCATTCTTTAGCATTAAATTCGTATGAACAGACTATTTATTTGTTAAACAAACATGATATAGATTTATATAAACATCATTATCATTATCTGCATATTTGTATGGTTCAAATTGCATTTAAATCGTTAACCCTTAAAGGATTACCAGAGACCTTTTTAGCAGCTCTTAGAGATGCTAGAAATCTGAACTTCAGACAGTCTCTGATGGGTTCGATCGAATCTACAGTGGCCTATGGTCCAGTATATTTTAATACTCAACCCAATCTACAACTATCTCTTTCTGATGTTAATATTTTTGATGCTTTGACTTTAAATGTGAAAACACATGGTTATAATTATGCGCCTGGTTCTGAACTTATATGTCTGTCTTATAGGATTTATTTCAAATTGTTATCTACTTTGAATCCTAGATGTAAGTTATACGATACATCGGATCAGACTATATTGGTAGAAACCAATTTTGCAAGGTCCAAGGTCACCACTAGGAGACCTATTAGGTGGGAAGAAATTAATTTCCCAACTACTTGGACTTTAAATTCTGTCATATCCCCAAGTCAGATTACTGACGACTTGTCAAATACTGAATTTTCGCATGTTACTCAAAATCCGGATGGTATGATTTGTATTCAATTTGATGATAAGTTTACTATTTATAATAGACATTCGTTTTCTAATCATAGACTTCTACCTGCTATTCAACATATTTCCCCTATTGAACCAGTATACGGTCCAGCTCGCAATCGTGCAGCCTCTTTACACACTATTGCTAGTCAAATTAGTAATAAACCTGATGAAAGGGTTAAGATGGTTGA